AGCTATAGGCTACTACCGACGCTTCGTCCCGGCGTTTTCAAGAATTGCCATACCACTAGTAGCCCTGAAGAAGAAATACGCTAGGTTCAAGTGGACAGAGGACTGTCAACGGGCATTTGATACACTAAAGGAACAGTTGAGAGCCGTCCCACTGCTGACGTACCCAGACCTCAGCAAGCCCATGGTGCTATACACGGACGCCAGTGAGCAGTGTGTAAGGGCCGTACTTACCCAGCCGTGTCCCGATAAAGAAGGACCAGTGCCAGGCATACCAGAGGAAGTACCTATATACTTCTTCTCCCATAAGCTCTCAGAGACACAACAGAGATGGCCAGTAATAGAAAGGGAAGCATATGCCATCATGTATGCTCTCCAAAAACTGGACTACTATTTGAATGGTGCGGTCTTTACTATAAAAACAGACCACAAACCTCTGCAGTACCTATTGCAGGCAGAGTGGACAAATAATAAGAAAAATTCAACAGTGGGCACTTGTTAAGTGGCTACCACTGTAAGATAGAGTATTTGGCAGGGAAGGAAAACACGTGCGCAGATTTACTCTCAAGAATACCGAAACAACTGGAAGAAAGATCTGTAAAAGTAGAGCAGGGAGTAGATGATAAAGCCTATAGAATAAGAGTAATTAACTCTAATAAGCTAAAAGATCGCCCTATGTTAGAATCGGACGAAGAAGGGGACACCCAGATAATAACCGATCCCTACTGGACAGAAGGAATTGAGAAGGAGCAGGCAGACAGTGAAATAGCTGCTCTGAGAAAAAAGGTGAATGCAGGAGAGACCACCAAGTATGCCATAATAGAGGAAAGGCTGTATTATCTCTCAGGCAGGGATGAAGAAGTCAAGCCCAAGTTGTATGTGCCCAAATGTTTAAGACCAGAGATATTGGAACAGTGCCACGAGAGTTTGGGTCACATGGGAATTGATAGGACATGTGATCTTATAGGAAGAAAGTACTATTGGCCCAAACTGTACGGAGAGGTCACTAACTATGTTCGGAGCTGTGTAGTGTGCCAGTCGCAGAGCAGAAGGCAGGAAATGGCACCTTTGGAGGAGACGGACGTAACAAACTTCCCCTTCGAGAAGGTGAGTATGGATGTATCAGGACCATATGGGGAAACTGCACGAGGAAATAACTATATAGTGAGTTTTGTCGATTGGCTAACAAATTGGACTGAAGCATTTGCAGTACCAGACAAGAAGGCCAGAACTGTGGCCGGGTTGATAATAAGTGAAATCTTCCCTAGGTACGGCGCCCCTGTGCAATTGGTAACAGATAATGGCACGGAGAATGTGAACAGCATAATGAGAGAAGTTCTGACAGGTTTGAATATAGAGCACGTAAAAACATCCCCATATCACCCCCAAGGAAATGCTGAAGTGGAAAGGTTTCATAGAACCTTGGGGGATGTATTGGCCAAGCTGGTCAGGGAGAACACTGAAAATTGGGACTTGTATTTGACGCAGGCTCTGGCGGCCGTGAGGTTTACGAAAAACGAAACCTCCAGATTTTCTCCTTACATTTTGTTTTGGCAGAGACGTGGTCCTGCCTGTGGATAACCTACTGAAGCCCCGAAGAAAGTATATGGGAGAAGATCATCATCAACTATTGCTGGAACAACAACATAATATATTTGTACAGGCCAGAAGAAGATTAAAGAGGGCCCAGAAGAAAAGAAATGAGAGAGTGAATGCTGAAAGAAAGGTAGTAGAATTGAAGGTTGGAGACCCTGTCTACTATAAAATCCACCAGAGAGAGGGAAAACTGGACCAAAGATGGGAACCGTACTACCGGATAGTAGAGCAGACGGGTCCAGTATCATATGTAATATGGGATCAAGTGGCAGGACGAGCGAGGAGGGTTCATGCCAATGATCTGAAGAAGGCTGAAATAGCTAACCTGGAAATGAGCGAGCCGAGGCCTAAGAAGACAAGGACAAGGAAGGTAACTCTGGTTGAACCAGAAGAAATGGAGACGGAAGAAGATTCCGAAGAAGATGAAGAGATAGGTCGACTTGACCAGATAGACGAAGCGATCCGAGTGACGGAGTTGGAACCCTCAGCGGGGATTAGCGATGTTCAGTCGTCGACTGAATCGGTGCAGAGAAGACCCTGTGAGGTCGCCATCGCACCCCCATGTCCAAGGAAAAGGAAGAAAAAAGACGAGGAGATCCAATAAAGCAGTCGAGGGCTCTAAGAAGAGGCACCCTGAACAGGACGAAGGGCCCAGCGAGTGGGAGGAGGAGGATCAAATACCCCTTTCCCAGCTCAAGGAAATGATAAGGAACAGGAGAGATTTAGACATAGAGTCGAGAGGTATTAAAGGCATTCAAGGTGAAGACTCTAAACAGAAAGAAGAATCAGGGGATGAAGAAGAGGACAAAACACCTCCCGGACGGGAGTTAAACAGAGAGAAGGTTAGAGGTTGAGCAGGAATCACCTCGGAAGATGAGATCAAGGAGCGTGAAGAACCCCAAATCTCAGTAGAACAAGAGGGCTGTGCAGAATAGAAGCATTCAGTGTCGACAGATAACGACACTGGCTCATCCAAGAACCTGCTGGCTGACTACGGTGGATGTGGATGGAGTCTCGGGCTGCACCTCACAGGGGACGGAAGAAGATTATTGGCATTGTTGATTGGCCATCAGTGGTGTCATGAAGTACGACCCTTGGAGTGAGCGCCACGCACACCTGACCGGACCATTCTGTCTGCTAGAGGTTAGTTAGAGGTGAACTTAGTAAGAAATTATAGGATAATTGAGTAAAGAATTGTGGAAGTATTATAATGCACTAGGATGTGTGACCTTGTTAGAAAATAGGCGACTATTGGTTGTGATATCTGTTTCGTTGTTAGATAGCGAGAGTATATTCGAGATATACCAGGTTATAAACTTACCCATCCCCTACCCCAGAAGAGATCAAGGTTCGGGAATGATAGCAAGGTACAAGGTGGAAGCAGACTACATAGCTTTAAAATCGGGGAGAACGAAATTCATGTTGCTATCAGCTGAAGAAGCTGGAAGGTGTAGAGATGATGCTCTAGGGACTTGTACCCTCGTTAAGCCCTATCTATAAAAACTGGTAAACTGCAGAATGTGCATACTAGAATTGTTTGAAGGAAGGGGAAGGAATCAAAAGAACCTGCCAAGTGGAGGTATTAACAAACACGGCATTACCACAAGCTATCAGTGTTTCAGACGGGGTGTGGGCAGTAGCCACACAGAAACCTATCAGCTTGTCTAGGGTATGTGGGGGAGAGTCCACAAGGACATTAAGAATAAGGTTACCGTTATCCCTGTTAAAGCTACCCATGGGATGTTCGGCGGTTGGGATATCCATTTCCCTACCCCCTATTACCAGGAAGAAGAAAGATATGAAGAGAAAGATTCAATCATAGAGATGATTGGTAGAGGCTTAGTCAATTGTACAGAATTGTGGGAGCCGATAGTGAAGGGATTCTCTAATGTTACCTTAAATAAAATGCCAGTATTAATGAAGCCGATAGAAAAGATCGATATGGATCAGTTGAGAGACAAGTTAAGTGCGTTGGGAAACGAAGGTGTGGCTTGGGAAGACGATGAGCAGATCGGTCAATAATGATGGGTACATTCCTAGTTATAGCCATCGGGGGTGTATTAATATGGAAGGTTAAGAGTAAGAGATTAGCGAACGACAATCTAATGAGCATGCAGCAACTCGAGAGGGAGATGCCGAGCAGTGTTCCTTACTCAGACGGGACTGGCAAAGAAATTGCTGAAAGACCAACGGAGGAGGCTGGCGTGAGACCACCACGTGCGGCGGAAAAACCTCCCACAGCGGAGAGGAAAACATTGACCAAGAAGAATAAACCATAGTAACCACATCTGCACCCACAGACGCACGCACATATTACTTTTGCATGTAGAACAAAAGAAGATGAAAAGAACATTACATTGCATGTAGAACAAAAGAAGACGAAAAGAACATTACTTTTGCATGTAGAACAAAGGAAGATGAAAGGAACATTAATGTAGAAGAAGAAAAAGAACATTACTTTTGCATGTAGAACAAAGGAAGATGAAAAGAACATTACATTTGCACGTAGAACAAAAGAAGTTAAAAGAGAACATTACACTGCATGTAAGAAAGTAGTATAGAATTGCATGAGACAAATGCATGGTGCATGTTAAATGATGTATTTGTTTAGGTGTCATTTACGAGTAAATGACAAATCGGTTAGGGAGGATTGTGGCACTATGCATAAGTTGGCAGGCTGAAAAGAAATATTCATAAATATATGATTTGTTTTTACGGTTTGTCAACCATTTGATAATTATTTAGAGCTGAAAAATATTTGGGTTTGAGAATAATTCTTTAATTGCGTTCAAGCGATCTGGGAGAAAGAAAGAGAAGAAGAAGAAAAGAAAGAAAAAAATATAATACGAAAACCAGGTCATAAGCGAACACACACACACTCGATTGATACATAACAGATGTTGGAAGGTATCCCGGTCAAATTGACCTACTTCCGTGTCCACGAAAAATGGAAGTTTGTTATCAATTTGGTTGAAGAAATAAAGTTTAGAGACAATGGAAAAAAATATGATAGGTAACAGGTGGGAAGTTTATCTAAGGATATGAAGACAAACCCTTAATACGAACAGCACAGACAATTCCAGAATTGAAATTAAAGCCACACAAGATGATGTTGGCTGAAAATATTTTTTTGAGATAATTAAGATTTTGTTATCAAGCTTCGAGCGAAGGAAAAGGTGAAATATTTTCATTCGTTCACGAAAACGCCACCCAGTCTGGGAAATCCCTTTCTTAGATCGTATCCAATTAGCGATAAACTGTTTGACAAATACAGCGTGTAAAAAGACCGAGAGCGTCATTTCGGTCACGTACGAAAAGGGCAATTTGAATTTTTATTTTTTAAGCAAGGTGTTTCTTCCCCAGAACAAAGCCACGGATTGTCCACGCCTGACTAAAGACGCCATTGGCTAGATGGGATCACGTGGCGCACGAAGGAGGAGGAAAAAATACCCGACCAGGACCTCATTGGCCGAGAGCGGCCACGTGACGCACGAGGAGAATCGGTCGACGCCCCTGTCAGAGGTGTAAGTGGAGAAGCCGATAAGAAGAAGCGGGGAAGGGGTATACGCCCTCAGAGACACAATAAGGAAGTAGGAGTGAAAGTGAATTACCGAAAATGGAAAATCCCTAACCAGAAATAAGAAGGGTGGATACGTATTTAGAATTATCAAGAAAACCCTGGCGCCGACAGACCCACCCCAGTTTTTGACTGCGTCAATAAAAGCGGAACCCCAACCGACAGAAATCAGTTTTTTTTGCGCCGCGGACGGCGAGAGAGAGTTTGCGCCGCGGACGGCGAAAGAGTTTTGCGCCGCGGACGGCGAGGGAGTTTGAGCGCGGACGGCGAGCCCGGTTCATTCGCCCCCTTGCGGGCAAGAAAAGCCGAAGTTAAGCAGCCCGTTTGGCCTAAGTGGAGAAGTTGGAATCAGAGCAAGCTGAAGAGAAGAAGTTAATTTGCGCACTGACGGCAGAGATGAGTGACCAATAATTCAGACTCTGAAGAGGAGAGTTTGCGCCGCAGACGGCGAAAGAGATCAGCCGTTAACGACAAGCAGAGATCAGCGCCCAGTGTTGAAACCGCATCAAGATAGCTAACCAAGATTCACGCACACTTCTAGACTCTTCTTCAACCAAGAACAAGTAGTTTGAAGAGCGACTTAGAATCAGACCACAAGAAATAAGTTTTTTTCGACTTTCGTCCAAAGACACACCGAGACGCAAATTTCTAAGAGAGCAGACAACTGGAAGCCTTAAAGTTGCCTAGTAAAAGCGTTGTGCCACAATCCACAGAACGGGTCGGAAGGTAGACATAGTCCTATGTACCGAGCAAATAGACATAAAAAGTTTGTTACCTTTTTCTTGATACGTTGGACCTTGTGAGTTGTTATTTTATTTCTTTTATTATACATAATTGTGTGTTATCACCCCGTTAGACTCAACTTGCATTGCGGCCCCAAGCCCTGTTTGATCTCGTCTGTTCAAGATCAAGTCACAACGTGGGTAGGCAGACCGGAGATCAGTGCAGTTACCCTGGTAACCAGGCGTTGGAAGCAGGTTGGGAACGACAAGGCTGGTATCAATCTAACCAAAGGGTTAGAACGTCACGTTTGGAGCAGCGAGGAGCAAACAGCTGACGCCGCGACAAAAGACGTCACAACTGGTGCTGTCCGTGACCAGGATATCAGAGCCTGGGGAGCACTTGACGTCACAATTGGCGCCGCGAACGGGATCGAACGACACAGTCGACGCTGCGACCGGGGAACGACGTCACACCCTGTCTATCCTGCTATTTGACCCATAGGTGGGAGAAGGAATGTATTCATACTTTTCCCAAAGGCATTATGGCGAATGATGACATGAACATTATTATATTTTTTTCTCTGGGCTATTTCTTTCGCATCCGTTGTGCTATAAATCCTTTAAGTTTGGATTTAAGAAATTCTGTCTCCTTAAAAACTTAATTTCTTTAGTAAGATTGAGAATAAAGACACATGACCCAGTGGATAAAAACATTGGTTGGTTGATCCAACGGAGACTTGAACCAAACAGGTGTGAGTTCAATCACTGGCCACAGTAGAGACAACCAAAACTTGGAGAGCTGATGTATCTATCTCTGTAGACTAAATAGAGGGCTCGGTTCGAAATTCCCAAAAAAATATCACCTGAAGAAGGCAGTAGAACAGCCGAAACGTCGTGAATTTAGCAATAAATGTGAGGCCAGCAGCCTGAACGATGTGAACAGTATAAATACTATTGTAACCTAGGAAGGGTTACTAAATGGGGAATAACCAAAGCAGAGGATGGAAATGGTAATCTTTATAACATCAACAAAACACATACTCGCAAGCGGAGTGAAATAGGTAAACCACTGCTAATGGTGAACTACTTAATACTGTCCAACATTTTTATGAGGATTAGGACATACCCATTAGTGTTCATAGGTATGGTATATAACAGTTACAATACCACATCTCAGAAATATCGACAGATCCTGAAGAAGACCGGAGCCTGCAACGGCTGAACCGTCATGAATTTTTCAATAAAAATAAGGACAACAATCCGAACAATGTAAATAGTGGAAATAGTCACAATATCTCATCTCACAAATATACACAGATGCTGAAGAAGGCCAGAGCGTATAACGGCTGAAATATCGTGAATATCGCAATAAAAATGAGAACAACAGTCCAAACAATGTAAATAATGTAAACAGTTACAATACCTCATCTTAGAAATATAGAGAGATCTGAAGAAGGCCGGAGCGTATAACGACGGAAATGTAAATTTAGTGTAAATAAATGAAATTTTTGTTCAACAAATTTAAATTTAATGTTTTTCTTGGTTCTTTAAGAAAGACGACCTACATTCAGATATTTGTATTCAATGTCATGCAACTTCAAGATCATGGCTCCCCACAGATTCCTTTTTTTATTTGCAAATCGCTATTCCTTCCCGGAAAAAAGATGGTGGAGCGGTTGTCTGTCGTCTTCTTCAAGGTTTCGAATTTAATGTTTTCTTTCTCTGAGACTGATCACCACCTAAGATAAGTGATCACTGTATGCTCTGCTATTTAATCCATAGCTAGAGGAGCGATGGTTATATCAATGCCTCTTCCTTTTGGTCGAGATAGGGTCTTTTTTAGTTCCTACGATATCTCTCCATATTTGGTATGTCTGATTCGTTATGTTCTTTTGTAGATTTTCGAGATTTGGTTTGGTTTGGTTTATTTTGTTTTACAGTATATCAACCTCAATGGGTTATTTAATGTCGACAATATTTTTAGGATAGATTCGTATGAATAGAATATGTATTCTTTGGTTTAGATTGGTTTGGTTTATTTTGTTTTACGGCATATAAACCTCAATGGGTTATTTAATGACGACAACATTTTTAATAGACGACTTTGGTTTAATTGGTTTGGTTTATTTTGTTTTACATTTTTATTTAGGATAATATTTTTAGGATAGATTCGAATAGAATATGTATTCTTTGGTTTAGATTGGTTTGGTGTATTTTGTTTTACGGCATATAAACCTCAATGGGTTATTTAATGTCGACAATATTTTTAGGATAGATTCGTATGAATAGAATATGTATTCTTTGGTTTAGATTGGTTTGGTTTATTTTGTTTTACGGCATATAAACCTCAATGGGTTATTTAATGACGACAACATTTTTAGGATAGATTCGTATGAATAGAATATGTATTCTTTGGTTTAGATTGGTTTGGTTTATTTTGTTTTACGGCATATAAACCTAAATGGGTTATTTAATGTCGACAATATTTTTAGGATAGATTCGTATGAATAGAATATGTATTCTTTGGTTTAGATTGGTTTGGTGTATTTTGTTTTACGGCATATAAACCTCAATGGGTTATTTAATGTCGACAATATTTTTAGGATAGATTCGTATGAATAGAATATGTATTCTTTGGTTTAGATTGGTTTGGTTTATTTTGTTTTACGGCATATCAACTTCAATGGGTTATTTAATGACGACAACATTTTTAGGATAGATTCGTATGAATAGAATATGTATTCTTTGGTTTAGATTGGTTTGGTTTATTTTATTTTGCGGCATATCAACCTCGATTTTTTATTTGATGCCGACAAAATTTTTTTTTATTGCTGTTAATATTTTGTTTTGGCAAAAAATTTGTTTCTGGTAATATATTTCCTTCAAAATTGTATTGCTGGTAAATTTTGATAAAAAAAAACAGGTGCTACCACCCTGAGTCAAGGTAGACCTGGGAAAACCAGTAATTAAGAGGTGGTTCCAAGCTCCTCAAAACTTGCTGCCGGACGTTGTTTATCGTCTTACCCAGGACGCGGATTTTGTTTAATGTCTTACCCAGGACGATATTTTCGAGTGCAGTGAAAAATGATTCCATGACTTGTTTATACTCTTCACGTTTCCCTTTCGTTTGCTTTGTTTTTATTAAATGATTAGGATTTGGCATCACTGAAGCAAAAAAAATCATATTCAAATTATCAGCAAAGTAAAGAACATACAACGTCAGAAACTGCAATTAACGGTGCACAGAACAAGACGATACGAAAAGTGTTGTATTTTCTATTAACAAAATAAGGTATTCCAACGGATCTCAAGAAGTTTTACAAGCAATCAGCAAAATGAAGCCAGAATGGAAGTAGATAATATAACAGAGGATACAAAGTAAAATAAATGAGATAAAAAAAAGAATGATCTCTCAGGAAATAAAACGGAGGTATCTTGCTATGATATAAACAATTGCACTGATTCAGATTCTGTTACTGGTGAAATTGAATCAAACGACATTAGAGTAGATTTCCTTTTAAAACAAGAGAGGAGAAATGACTGAAGTGTAACCCCACATCATTCAGATTATAAGCAAAGTAAGTCGCACACAAATGTCAGAAAGAGACCCGCTTCCAAAAATCCATATGACAAAGTCCAATAAACATCTTGTGTATAACGTTGATTTGTAGACATTGTTTATGGACAGACCTCTTGAAAACATCACAGAAGTCAATAATGTCATGTATGCAACAGCTTTGGCAGCTACTAAAAATCTTAATATCAAGACAGGTAAAAGAATAAATACCAGACAAAAAGAGATCATTTGGAAGGTAAAATTAAAGAGAGAAATTGAGGCTGTGCGTGTTATCGATACTTGATGAGATTTCAAGAAAATTCAAATGTTTCAACACTGAAAAGCAAGAAGATCAAGTAGAAATATAAAATGAATTCCGTAAATTAAATTTTACCAATCAAGGAAATACTTAAAACTGAAACTGTAATTAAAGGCGCACAGAACAATACGATACGAAAAGTGTTGTAGCTTTTATCAACAAAATAGGATATTCGAAACGGACCTCAAGAAGTTTTACAAGGAATCAGCAAAATGAATCAAAAATGGAAGTAGATAATATGACAGAGGATACAAAGTAAAATAAATGATATAAAAAAGAATGATCTCTCAGGAAATAAAACGGAAGTATCTTGCTACGATATAAACAATTGCACTGATTCAGATTCTGTTACTGATGAAGATGAATCAAACGACATTGGAGCAGATTTCCTTTTAAAACAACAGGGGTGAAATCACTGAAGTGTAACACAACATCATTCAAATAATCAACAAAGAAATGCACACACAACGTCAGAAAGAGACCGGCTTCCAAAAATCAATATAACAAAGTCCATTAAACATCTTGTACAAACATAAAATGCTATATTGCAAACATTGTAAATGAACAGACTACTAGAAAACATCACAGAAGTCAATGATGTCATATATGCAACAGTTAGGCAGCTACTGAAAAAACTTAATATAAAGAAAATAAAAGGTTAAACAACAGACAAAATGAGCCTACTTGGAAGGCAAAATTAAATGAGAATTTGAGGAAATCAGATATAAGTTGATGATACTAGATGAGCTTTCAAGAAAATTCAAATGTTTCAACACGGAAAAGCAAGAAGATCAAGTATAAATATAAAATGTATTCCGTAAATGAAATTTTACCAATCAAGGAAATACTTAAAGCAAAAACTGCAATTAAAGTCGCACAGAAAAAAAACGATATGAAAAGTGTTGCAGCTTTTATCAACAAAATAGAATATTCGAAACGGACCTCAAGAAGTTTTACAGGGAAATTGGAAATGCAGTTACAGAAGTCAAAAAGACACCATCTATTGAAAAAATGCAAAACTTTTGGGAAAATATTTGGAGCACCCAAAGGAATATAACCCCAATGCAGCGTGGGTCAAACGAGAACAAGAAAGAATCAAGGATAAACCTGTGCAAGAATGGAAAAATATAACCAAGAATAATGATAGGCAAGCTCTAAAAGAATCCGCAAAAATGAAAATCCCCAGGAACTGACAAGGTACCCAACTTTTGGCTCTATCATCTGTCATCAATCCATAAGTCTCTTGCGCAAACTTTAACAATGCTAATTAATAACCCTAATGCAATTCCAGAATGGATCACTTAACTTATTACATATCTCCTACCAAAAACGGTGAAACAGATAATCCAAAAAAACTATAGGCCAATAACATGTCTGCCCACCACATATAAATTGATCACGTCTGTCCGGACGAACTCTTTTCTCGGTGAAAACAATATTCTTCCCCTACAACAGATGTCGAAGAGTTTCTTATACATGAAAAGACCAACTACTAATGAATAAAATGAACCTGGAAAATTAAAAGTCTCAGGAGAGCTTAGATGGATTACCGTAAAGCGTTTGATAGTTTAGCGCACTCTTGGATCCTTTGGAAATGTACGAAATCTCCTCAGTGATAATAAATATACCATGAAACTGTGAAAAATCATATTATACCTAAATTACACCAAAGGTACTGATACTTCCTATTATTTGAATATCCAACGAGTAATCTTTTAAAGAGACTCCCTGCTGCCTCTTCTGTTCTGTCTGTCATTAACCCTCACCCTTTCGCATGAACTTGTGGAATAATCCACGTTACCTTTTCAGCCAATGAAGTCCCAGAATGGATCACTGAAGGTATTAAATATCTCCTACCAAAAACGGGTGAAACAGATGATCCAAAAAATTATAGGCCAATAACATGTCTGCCCACCACATATAAATTGATCACATCTGTTCTGACGAACTGTACTTAATCTTCTCTCGATGAAAACAGCATTCTTTCCCTGGAAAAAGAATGATGTCGAGAGGTTCATATGGTTGCAAAGTTCAACTATTAATAAATAAAATGACCCTGGAAAATTGCAGAAAAAGATAGAAATCTCAGCACACGTTGGATAGATTACCGTAAAATCTTTGATTGTGTGCCACACTTTCAGATCCTGAAGACATTGGAAATGTACAAAGTCTCCTCGGTTATAGTGAATTTTCTTAAATAGAGCATAGGATTTTGGAAAAGCAAATTATATTATAATCACACCAAATGTACTGCAAACTTCAAATTGTTTGTATATCCTGTGAGGAATATTTCAAGGAGACTCCATGTTGCCAATTCTTTTCAGGCTGTCCTTAATCAACCTTTCGTATAAAATAAACAGTAATAACTATGGATGCAATTAAAAAACAAAGTGTTTAATCATGAAGGGGCCAGAGGATTAGTTAAACTAGAATGTGTTTCAACACACTCTTCATTATTACTAATATTTTATTACTAATTTCATTCCAACTTATTATTATTGTAGCATTTAATCCAAACATTTTGGCTCTATACACTCTTCATTATTACTATTATTTTATTACTAGTTTTATTCCATCTTATTATTGTTGCTTTTTATCCCAACACCCTGGCTCTATACACTCTTCATTATTACAATTATTTTATTACTAGTTTTATTCCATCTTATTATTGTTGCTTTTTATACCAATCCTCTGGCTCTATACACTCTTCATTATTACAATTATTTTATTACTAGTTTTATTCCATCTTATTATTGTTGCTTTTTATCCCAACACTCTGGCTCTATACACTCTTCATTATTACTATTATTTGATTACTAGTTTTATTTCATCTTATTATTGTTGCTTTTATCCCAACACTCTGGCTCTATACACTTTTCATTATTACTATTATTTTATTACTAGTTTTATTCCATCTTATTATTGTTGCTTTTTATCCCAACACTCTGGCTCTGGCCTTCATTATTACAATTATTTTATTACTAGTTTTCCATCTTATTATTATTATCCCAATTATTTTATTATTTTTTAGTTTTATTTTATTACTATTTTATTCCATCTTATTATTGTTGCTTTTTATCCCAACAGTCTGGCTCTATACATACACTTTCATTTTTACTATTATTTTATTACTAGTTTTATTTCATCTTATTATTGTTGCTTTTTTATCCCAACAGTCTGGCTCTATACACTCTTCATTATTACTATTATTTGATTACTAGTTTTATTCCATCTTATTATTGTTGCATTTTATCCCAACACTCCGGCTTTGTACAATATTCGTTATTACTATTAAGCGATTGCATTAATGAAAATAGTTAATAGCCGAAAACCTTTTGCTAAAACTACCAAAATGTGACAGGGTGTATGTAGCTGGAACTTTTAGCAATTTCACACCACCCTCCACCCATAAGACCCGATGTTTTCTTCGGGTGGAGGAGCGCTTAATTTAAAAAAGACATCTAAAATGAAGATCTCCGATGACAGACTGTGTCAGATCCTATGTTGATTATACTCAGGGGTTAAATCACAGTAATAAAAGTCAGTAATGTTTGGGGTTTAGGAAGAGGCTGTTCGTTAATGGAGGTGGCTGAATAAACATTGTATAATTCAATGTACTCAGTGGTAACATCATAGACAACAAAAACATGCACGAAGAACTTCCATATGCGGAGATCAAATTACACTATACGTACATATATATATATATATATATATATATATATATATATATATATATATATATATATATATATAAAAGCACATATAAAGTGATGCATAGTGATATACACCTATATATATATATATATTGTAAGCTAGAAGTGACCAGATATATTGACATAGTGACAACGATAAAGATATCTACCTGAGCGAAGAGAAAGAAAGAGATGAGTAGAATAATGTACACTCACACACACAGACATAGATAGATAGATAGATAGATAGATAGATAGATAGATAGATAGATAGATAGATAGATGTGAACAAGCATAGAGATAGAGAGACGGTGATAGATGTGAACAAGCATGAAGATCTATCTATCTATCTATCTGTATATATATATATATATATATATATATATATATATACAGATAGATAGATAGATAGATAGATAGATAGATAGATAGATAGATAGATAGATATGAACAAGCATAGAGATAGAGAGACGGTGATAGATAGATGTGAACAAGCATGAAGATAGATAGATAGATAGAGATATATTGATATATTTAAGATAGATAGATAATTATTGAATATTTAGCAAGATTTTTTTAAATCTTCAATGGTAATGAAAATGAAATATATATTTGTGTATGTTCGTGTGTGCCTGCATGCATATGTGTGTGCTTTTGTGTGTAAGCTTGTATGTGGATGTAAGTTTATGCGTGCATGTGTAAGTTACTTTGCGCACCTACACGTTTATCTATATATGTGTAGCCAAGCACCTAAATTAAGCATTGAACGGCAAAAAAGCATTTCGGAATTGTTTAATTAAATTCAGAAAAATAAATATTTCCCCTGATTGAAAGGAATACAACATCTTATCATTGTGTCTTATCTATATATATATATATATTTATTATATATTAACCCCTTTATTAACAACGAGAGACGATAGTCTGTCATGTGCTTGAACGCAATCTTCAGGCAATGTGTTTTGCCGCAACTATTTATATATACTGGTCAATGGGGCATTCATTTTTAAGGTTAACGAACAACACTATAAAAGAGTGATAAATAAACGTATCTACAATAATTTGAAACATACCAATTACCGCCCACACCATAAACATCAGAATAAAACAATATGACCAGCATATTGTTATGGTCCAAAGCTCCTTGTACCACGGTGATCGTCCAAGGTAGAACCAATAAAGAAGAACTCGAACACAGGTATGGAATAACACAGATATCTTACAAACAGGAATATATACACAGAAGTAGAAGTGTTAGTATGAACAATCAGGTTTAGTAGAGAGAACAATGTAGTCTCGACCAGTATCACTATTCCAATGTCTTGCAGTAATTGTCTGAACGCGACTCTGTTTCGGAATGCCTCTGACTCGACTGACTGACTCGCTCGCTCTGACTGACTGACTGACAGACTCCTGACGGACCTCACTCCAGACTTCAGACTGAACTCCCTGCTTCCTCTTGAGGCGCAGTATTTATTACGTATGGAATAGTTCATTATGGTATTATGGGTAAGGTCCCATAACAATATATAAATAGTCGATCAAAAAGACAACACACATGGCCTGAAGATTGCGCTGAAGCATCAAACAGAATGTTGCCTATTGGTGTTGACCTTTCTCTCCTTTTTGTCTCCATATATATATATATATATATATATATATATATATATATATATGTGTGTGTGTGTGTGTGTGTGTGTATATATATATATATATATATATATATATATATATATATATATATATATATATATTGGCGTCGTCGGTATCTGTCCGTCTCGAGTGACGATGGAGTAGCGTGATATATGGAGATCTAGAGCTGCCCTGACGTCTAGTTCCCCCTCTCGGCCTTGCTAACAGAGTCCAAAGTAGAGGATAAACCAATACAGTTTGGTACCAGCGCAGCGGAAGGAGTTGCCGGAAGGTTGCAAAAAGTCCGTCGATCCGCCTTAGGGGCTCCACTCCAGGTTTTTTCTTCTCCTAGATCAGTTGCCATCCAAGGCTATAGAACCCAGTCTGTCCTGCTATTTTCCCATAACTGGAGGGAGGAGAAGAGGATTCACAACTTGACTGTGTTTTGACAAATGAAAACATTTTATAAAACATACATACAACAAACTATTTCTTATTTAACATTTAAAATATTTAATCCTTGAAAATGGCTAAATGTATAGCCGAAAGCGCTCGGATAAAAAGAACATTCGGACAGTTTTTATATAATTTATCACCCGAAAAGAAAAAAATTATTAGATCGCATGAGAAATTGTATAAAAATTAAATCAAAGCACCTTCTCTGACGTATTCAATGAAATGTGCATGAAAGAAGCATTGCTACCTAAATACACATATATATATATATATATATATATAATACATTGATGGTCACTCTGTACAAGGCCCGAGGGCCACTCGAGTTAGAGGGTTACAGAGTAAGAGGCACAGTTTATGCGTATATATATATAGAGAGAGAGAGAGAAGATAACGGTTAACTTGATTTGAACCGGTTAAGAGTGTAGTGATCGAGGAAGCATCCACTTGGGAGTCGCTTCTACGCGACAGCGTTTCTTGGGTAGAAGCTTCCCGATTGATATTTACATATCATCAAAGGAATACAAAGAAAATGGGGGTGGCTTGCTACAATGGGCGTAGCATAGTGGGCTTTAGCTATGAATGGTAAGGAATGTAGTTTTTATTCTGGGGTGTAAAGCTCTCCATTCCAGTAAGAATCCATTTTGAACAAAATTACATTTCAAACTAATTACAACACATTACATTGCATCTAAATATATGGTTCCGTTGTTAATATTCCGGTCTCTCACGTGGTACGACGTCATAGAAACGCATCTTGAACTTACGACCTGCGTCTGCTATTCCGCGACCGTTATCGGCGCATAGCAATCTTCTATGTCAACATAACAGGTTATCATCTTTGATGGTGAATGTCTTTGTTTAAATATCCATATAACCACTCTGAAGATGGCTCATGTGAGTCGAAAGCTTAGATCAAGGAACAGCATAATAAAAAATATCCAAATGATGGACAATTGTTTTTTAATTTCACGCGAAATTAAAGCAAATATACGCAGTTTAAAACGGCTTATGATCAAACATAATAGACATTCATTGTCTGTTATATTCAACAATATAGATAGATAGATAGATAGATAGATAGATAGATACAAAGAAATAATCACACATAGAATCAATCAGAAATGTTAATGCGATTATTGGCGGCATCCATCGTTAGTAGTATAATGTATGCATTAAAATACTGTTAATCCATAGAGTGAAGTGATCCTCGTCTATAAAATTGATGTCTGTTGTTTCCAGTTTATGTGTTCTTAAAATGCTAGTACTTACGAATAGTCTTCTATCCATCATCAGGCATGTGTTTTTTTTTTCTTATAAAATCAAAAACTTGAAGACGAAATAATTGTCGACCGAAAGATGTTTTTTTAATATCTGCTATTATTGACGGTTGTGTACGATCTCGGAACATGCAAAGACGCAACGGTAAGTTTTTTAAAATTTGAAGTGAGAATTTTATTTAATTATTTCTTGTGATGAATAGAAGACTATTCGTAAGTATAACTCGATATGAGTTGTCCCCCTTTCATTCACGTGACAGCGATGCCTCTTAATCGTGCTTTCAAATTGATTTCATGCAAAAACAGTTGTGTTTTTCCAATTTTTGGCGCTGTCAGAATCACCGCAAGGTAATTTTACGTAGTCCTGTGAAGTTTTGTTGAAATCGGTTGAAAATGTAGGAAATCCGATCCGATATAAAACGTACAGACACACACACACACACACACACAATCACACACAATCTAATTTTATAAGAATATATATATATATATATATATATATATATATATATATATATATATATATATATATATATGAGGAGACACGGATTGAGGGATCGGACAGCTACGTTCGAATTCCAGTCAAATCCATTACATTCAGTTACGTGCTAACACCCTTGTGAAAGGTAAGAATCCTCTTCTCCCCCACTTAAACTATGGGTATATAGAAGGACAGACCGGTTTCTAAAGCCTTGGATAGCAACTGGTCTACTGCCGAAAAAATGGCAACATATTGCGGGAAAAAAAAATCTGCGTCGTCAGATCGAAAGATACACGATCGCCTAAGCGTGTATCACACATGGCACGTAACTGGATATTATTAAATATTTTATTGAAATATATGCTAGACATTATGAGATTTTAATGAATAATATGGAACAACTTTTCAAAAAGAAATTAAATAAAGATTGTTGTACTGCGGGGTCGTATTATACGGAAGGATGTAATTTATTCTCTGGTTATAGCTTCACAAACACGGAGTCGTCTTATACTCAAGGCATTTTATACGCAAGAAGGAAGGTAATGTTTATATTAGTTTATATTTTATGACACGTCCATCGCTGCGTTGCTATTCAGTCATAATAACAACTAATAAATAGTAAATAAATTTTGATTAACTAACCGAATACCTGTCCAATAGTGAAAAGTAATTTTCTATAGAAGTGCTATTAATATTTTTAATATTAATAAAAATGGATTAACATTAATTTTTTTTCTTCTTCTTCTTCTTCTTTTCTTCTTCTTCTTCTTCTTCTTCTTCTTTGTGCTGTGTGCCTTGAGAACCATGGCGATTGTGGTTCTCCACAATTTCCTGTGCTTTGGTTATTTTTTAAATGTCTATTTATAAGTTTTAAGAACATCGGACAAGTGAACTTAAAACTTATAAATAAACATTTTAAAAAAATAACCACCCTCTAAGTAAATCTTCAATAGAAAAACTATTAAAATAAGTTATTCCTGTACAAATAGTATGTATAAAATTATTGATTCCCACAATAAAGTTACTCTTAATAAATTCTATTGTATCAACAATTTACCTAGTATAGATACCCCATGTAATTGTAGAAATAGTGAATTCTGTCCAGTGGAAGGAAAATGCAGAGCCTATAATATGATTTACCAGGCAACCATTTACCCCAAACAGAACAAGAACAACAACAATATTTATAATGGAATTTCCCCGGGTGAATAGAAAGAACAACTATATAAGCATCGGCACACATTTTGCTAGCCAAAATTGAAATTCCAAACTACACTTGCCAAAAAATTTTGCGAATTGAGGGAGAAAGAACTGAACCCTCAGATTGACTGGAAAATCTTAGGTTTTGCTCACACTCCTAGAAATTTTAGAGGTAGATGCGGTCTATACCTATAAGAGAAAATTAGAATTATTACATTTGAAAATACAAATATACTTTTAAACCAAAGGAATGAAACGTTGTCACCAAAGTAGATTTAAATTTATCTAGACCCTCAGTGAACTTTTTTTTTTAAGCATTGTGCCCCAAGCAAGGCGTGAAGCCACTAGGATGCAGGGGGTTGCGGAAGATTTGGAGCGAGAGCAGATAAGAGTGATAGGAGAAAGGAAGAGGAGAAGGATAGTGGGTAGATCAAGGTAATTGGAGATGT